AAACCTGCTATTTCTGCAGGTCACAAAGGGCAGGTGGAACTTTTTCATAATTAACCAAAAGGAAGCTAGATAGTGAAGAGTGCCCTGACCTTGGTGTCAGAACATCTGGGTTCAAGGTTCAGTTACCCTGTTAACTGGCAATGTGACTGGGTCTGATGGTTATCTGGGCCTAGTTTCATGTGAATACTTCTGTTTGTTATTGCATGGTGAAACAAGCCCTTGCATGGAAAGTGCTCGCTCTGCATATGGTCCAGGACCTCATTCTCTCTGGGTCCCCCAGCTCTCTGGCTTCTCTTAGTCTTTCACTCTATCTCCTTCCTCTTAGGGGGAGGAGGTTGGTGGAGACTCCCTGGAATCTGGCCATGACACTCCTCTCATCTTACTACAATGCCTACCTTGGTACTCTCATCTGCCACCACCCAGACTCAAAGACTCCCAAATCTGTGCATAACCCATACTCCTTTCCCTAGCTCCAGACTCATGCATCCACAGTTACTGGATGATTCCTCTTGGATCTCCACAGAGCCTTCAAATCCACCAGGCGCCAAACTAAACTCATTATCTTCTTCCACTCAACCTCTTCTTTTTCATACATTGTCTTGGGAATCAATCATACACCCTTCCTTCCCTGCCACACTTGCAACTGAGATCCTAATAGTCACCAAGTCCCTTCTCTCCCAGGTGTTTCCTTCCTTGTATTTCCACTGCCCTAATTGGAATCCTATTAATTTTCACCTGAATCACTACAATTGTAGGTCCCCCTCCCCAGTACTGGGGATCAAACCCAGTGTTGCTTAACCACTGAGCCACATCCTCCAGCCTTTTTTTTTTTTTTTTTTAAAGAGACAGGGTCTCATTGAGTTGCTTTAGGGCCTCACTAAGTTGCTGAGGCTGGCTTTGAACTTGTGATCCTCCTGCCTCAGCCTCCTGAGCCATTGGGATTACAGGCTTGTAATCCACCTAGTTTGCAATTGCTTCTTCTTCTTTTTTTTTTTTTTTGGTAACCCTTGGGAATTGGACCCAGAGCCCTGCACATGCTAAGCAAGTGCTCTACCACTGAGCTATATCCCCAGCCCTTGCAATTGCTTCTTAACTGATCTATCTCAATTCATTCTCCTCACATCCTGAAGTGAACTTTCTGAAGCACAAATCTGATGATACTTCTGCTTTGCTGAAAAAACATTCTGAGGGGATTGAACTCAGGGGTGCTCAACCACTGAGCCACACCCCCAGCCCTTTTTTGTATTTTATTTAGAGACAGGTCTCACTGAGTTGGTTAGTGCCTCGCTAAATTGCTGAGGCTGGTTTGAACTCATGATCCTCCTGCCTCAGCCTCCCGAGCTGCTGGGATTACAGGCGTGAGCCACTGTGCCTGGCTCAGAGGCCCTGAATTCTTAGGCATGAAATTCAAACTCCTGGGCATGGAATTCAATGTCTGAAGCCTTCTCAGATCTAACTCTTGCCTACCTCCCTAGCGTACTTCCTGCTCTGTTGCCTCTGCTCCTATCCTACTGGACTGAATGTTCTCACACTGCACTATTATTCTTTTTTTTTTATTGGTTGCTTAAAACATTACAATGATCTTGACATATCATATATCATACATTTGATTCAAATGGGGTATGAATTATTATTTTTACCACGTGTACAGATTGCAGGATCACATTGGTTAAACATCCATGTTTATACATACTTCCATACTAGTGTCTGTTGTATTCTGCTGCCTTTCCTATCCCTTACTATTATTCTTTTAAATCTCTTTAACATGCTGTTCCCCTTTCCAAAAATGCCCTTCCACCACCCTTCTTCTCTCTTGCTCTCTCTTCTCCTCTCTAATCACTCAGCTAAGCTCTCCCATTTTATGAAACATCTTCCTTAACTCCTCAACCTCTGGATGCTTGAGAGTCCCTGCTTATGTGCCCTTTTAGCAGCTTGTGCATGCCTCTGTATTGTAATCATTTTGTATTTTGCTGCTTCTCCTGCTAGATTGTTAGTTCTCAAAAATAATTATGGTGTCTTATTCTCTATTTTTGATGATCTGATCACCCTTTCTGCCAATCTGATTCTTACTTAATATTTTACTTATTTTCTGGATGGGCAACATAGTCATATGACTAAAAATGCAGAAGTTAGAGAACTGTTACAGAAAAGAATTGTGTTAATCAGCTTTTCATTGCTGTGACAAAATACCTGAGAAAAACAATTTAAAGGAGGAAAGATTTATTCTGGCCCACAGTTTCAGGTCACTGTCAGCAGACTCCACTGTTTCTGAGCCTGGGATGAGGCAGAGCATTGTGGTGGAAGGGAGTGACAGAGCAAAGCTGTTAACCTCATGGCAGCTAGAAAGCAGAGGGAGGCAGAGAGGAGAGAAAGAGAAGGGGTTGTAGAAAAGATACAGTACTCCAGGGATCCATGCCCTTCAACTAGGCCCCGCCTCCTACAGCTTCCACCACCATCCAAAAGTCCATTCAGCTATGAATTCATCAATGGATTAGTCCATGGATAAGGTTAAAGCTTTCATGATCCAACCACTTCCTGCCAGGGCTGCCCTGCAGATGAGCTAGGCACACCCCCTCAATCTTGAGTAATGGGGGTACTGAACTAGCATTGCACGCTGTGAGAAGCAAGTGGGTCTTACCTTTGTTGGGCAAGAAAGTGCCTTAGCTTTGGGCTTGGGCATCCCCCCGACCCCCATTTTCTGTAATTGTATCCCTTTCCTTATTTGAGTGGAATATTCTAAGGAGTGTCTTTTTCCTAATAAATAGAGGGTTTCTGGTGTGTTCTCTCTTGCTCCTCGTGACCTTTTCCAGTGCTGTCCAGCGTGGGAGCTTGACCCTCGAGGTCGAAGAGCCATCCCTGACCCCTGTGTTTGTGTGGTCTTTTCATTGCCAGACCGAACCACACAGAGTGACCCTGATCCCATCACCAGCGCAGGATGTGGGCAGTGACGTCCTAAAAGCCCTACCTCTGAACACTGATGCAGTGGAATCAAGACTTCAATACATGAGTTTTGGGGGTACATTCCAGATCCAAATCAAAACAGGAATAAAGTAAAAAGTCTCCTTTCTACCCTTGTCTTCACCCTAGCTGTCTAGTCTCCCTCCCCAGCAGCATAATGTTATCAGTTTCTTGTGATATTTCTAAATATATACATATATACATGCTTCCTCTTTCATATAGGATGGTGTTATGTGCTATAGTCTGAGCTGCACCTTGTTCTCACTTAACCATATAGTCTCCATGAGACCTTTCCACATCAGTGCATAAACAGTTTCCTTATTCTTTATTTACAAGGATTTAGTTTTCCATTGTGGATGTATCATTTAACCAGTAACTGTTAGATTGAATTCACAAATGATTGGAAACTAACAGTACTGCAACAACTTCCCTTCACACACACACACACAAAGTCATTTTACACCTGTGAAAGTGTAATACTAGCATGAACTCCTGGAAGTGGAACTGCCAGATCAAGGTATATGTGTTTTGTTAGTTTGACCATGTACTAGTGCCCTTCATGGAGTTTGTAGATATCATCTTATTTATCTCTGCATCCCTAAGCCACAATTTTTTTAAAAATATTTCTAGTGTCAAGTGCTCTACCACTGAGCCACAACCCCAGCCCAGTACTGTAATCTTCATGCTTCATCTTCCTAGGTATGCCAAAAATGCAAGGTCCTGACTGTTTTTCACTGGGGCTACATTTCAGGGTTGCGGGGATGTATTTGTATGAGCAACCATGAGGGATAAAGTAATATCTCCCTCTAGGTCAAAGAACAGGTTTGCTTACTGCTTCCTATAAAATGGCAGCTTCCTCAAGTTCAGTGTTTCTTAGCTGTGTTATGAATCCACTAAGGGCACAGCATTCATTCGGGCCCTTTGTTTCAAGCATGTGTTACTCAGGACGTGAGAAGGGCAAAAGGAACTGACACAAACATGCTGAAGCTCCTTGCTTCTTGGGTCTCGAGTAATAGAAGGTCTTTTGTCTCTGACCCAGAAATCTTGTGTCTTCCACAACACCTATGAAACAGTAAACAGACTTACCTTATCAGTAGGATGCAATCAATTGTCAGACTGGAGTAATAATGGCTTAAATAAGCTTATTTTCACTGTCTTTTACTCCCACTCTTTTTACTTCTCTTCACCAGGCACTTTGCTCAACATCTGTAAGTTTGTGTTTTGGTAGGCAGCCAAAGCCACCAACTGCCACCATTTGTAAAGAATTCTATTGTTCTGCGGGGGGGAAAACACCAGGAATTTAAAATAAAGGTAACTTCAAAACCACTGCACAAGTGAAGTCATTACTGGGCCGCTCTAACGCCCAGTTAGAGCTGTTTCCTTCCACGTTTTTGGTTCAGTTGGTGCAGCTCTTACACAGTTCGGACAGTTGTGCAAACACAGCTAGGCCTTGCTTCCGGTTACTCAACATCCGGTTTCCTCGGACACTCCGAGCTTCAGGTTCCTCATGAGTGACACAGGGAAACGAATTCAGATCCAGCTGTCTCACGAGGTGGTTCTGGGCCCCGGAATAAAACGAACACGAGTTACCAGGCAAGTCAGGTTCGTGATGAATCACAAACATCACCTACGACGAACCCCGTTGGGTTGCTTTCTTTCTCTCTGCCTTTTGTCCCTTCTCCCGTCGCCCCCACGGGGCTGGGGATCCACTCCAGTCCTCGTGCAGGCCACGCACAAACTCCACCTCTCTCCTCTGGGCTCCGACCTTAGCCCAATTAACGTTTCTAGAGGCTATGAAATGAAAGGACGAAACAAAAACCGAACCTTGCCCTAAGCCAGCGGACCAAAACCTCGCCAGGCTCGGCGCTAGCCTGGAGGCTCACTTAGGCAGCACGTGGATCTCCTCACAGACCCCAGGAGAGAAACCACAACTCCCAGCAGGCCTTGCTCCCGAGCGTACGCCCTAGAGCTCCGCCCAGGCCGGGCCCAGCCTCGCCCCGCCCCCGCGGCCGGAAACTACATTTCCCGTGAGGCCTCGCGGTGCCCAACCTTCCGCTTTCCCCCGCCCCCTGCTCCCCTTCACCCCGCCGACAGCTCCGTGGCCGTCTCGGTCCCGCGGCCGGTGGTTCGGGCGCGCGCGCCGAGGGTCGCGCGGCTGCTGAGGAGGGCGAGCGCGCGCTGGGAGGGAGTGGAGGCGTAGGGGGGCGGGGGTACGGCTCGATTGCTCGCAAGATGGCGGACGAGGACGGGGAAGGGATTCACCCCTCAGCCCCTCACAGGAACGGCGGCGGCGGCGGCGGCGGCGGCGGGGGGTCCGGGCTCCACTGCGCCGGGAACGGCAGCGGGGGAGGCGGCGGCCCGCGGGTCGTGCGCATCGTCAAGTCCGAGTCCGGCTACGGCTTCAACGTGCGGGGCCAAGTGAGCGAGGGCGGGCAGCTGCGGAGCATCAACGGGGAGCTGTACGCGCCGCTGCAGCATGTGAGCGCCGTGCTGCCCGGGGGGGCGGCCGACCGGGCCGGGGTGCGCAAGGGGGACCGCATCCTGGAGGTGTGAGTATCCGGGCCCCGCGCCGTCCCCGCGTCTCCTCCTCCCTGTCACCCTCGGGCCGCTCCTCTCCCAACCCTGCCCGGGTCTCGGGACCCCCGCCTCCCCCGGCCTACGCTGCCCCATCCCTCCGTGTGAGTCGACCCACCTCTCCCGGTTCTGCGACTCCCACACTCCTGTCTGTCTTCTCCAGTTCACGTCCTTGCGCCCCCAGTGCCCCTGCCCCCATGCCTTGGCTGCTTTCTGTCCCTTTGGCATGCCGTCTTTTGCTCCCCACTGCGCCTGGTCGGCTTCCTAACGAATGTCTTCTGATCCTTACTAACGGCATCCCCTTTTCTGACCCAGCCAGGATCGTGTCTTCCTCAAGTTCTTGTCTTTAGCATCATAGTTTCCTGTTCCCCGCCACTCCCCTCAGTCCCTGTGGACTGTCCCTTCTGCCCTCCAGACCAAGTAAGCAGGACCTCTGGGTCTGCTCCCACTTCACCTCCGGAAACATCTCTTCTTACTCCACTCCTTTTTCTTTCCCTGTCACCCTTCCCTTACGGTTAAGCACCCCCAGTGTTTCCCATTTACCTCTTGTCCTTTCTTCCCCTCCTTTTTGTATTCATAACCCCAACAGTACACCTTCTTTTCTGACCCTTGCATGCTTTTTGGTGGGGGTGAGCTGGGGGTTCCGTAGTTCTGGTATTATGCCCTGACTGCATCTGAGTGCATCCCTGTACTGACCTCCTATCTTCACTCCTGCACTAGACTCACACTTCTTTTGAGTACGGTTTATGTGGAGCTGTCTAGCTCCTACTTTCCCCAAACTACAACCCCTTTTTGGGTCCTTGACTTCTGCACGTTTTTAGTGGATGCCCAGTTCCATTTTCTCTTCTATTCCATGCTCTTGGGATCCCATATTTGACTTTATCCCATTTCTCTCCTATAGGTTGTTCTCCCTTTCTTCTCTTTTTAAGGCCCTTTCTGCTGCTGCAACCCACCCTCTTCCCCTGCTGCAGTCCCTCCCCCATCATTCACCCTTAGTTCCCCACTGCATCCCTTAAAGCTCAGAGATTGCTGTCTTGTCTTGCAGTTTCTATGCAGACTTCCTCCATTACCCTAATCTAGGTGTTACATTCATATTTTTGTACTTGGTATTAAAATTCATAACGTGGTTGCTGGTTGACTTGGAGAGGTTTATGTTCTCATTGTCTCCGTTCTCTCTAGCAATCTTCAATTCTGTACTTCTCTTCTTACTGCTTCTATATAATATATTCTTTTTTTACTTTTATTGTCTTGCTTTATGCTGACAAGTCTCTCATTTTTTAAAAAACATTTTAATTGTAATTTCCACAACTGTCTGTCTTTGCTCTTTTAAAACAGCAGGTTTACCCAAGGTTTGTAAAGAGATGGTATCTTGAAGAGTCTGGTCTTTTTTTTTTTTTTTTTTTTCCTTGGTGGACACAGTATCTTTATTTAATTTTTATGTGGTGCTGAGGATTGAACCCAGTGCCTCACATGTGCTAGGCGAGCTCTCTACCGCTGAGCTTCAATGCCAGCCAGCCAGAGTCTGGTCTTATATAGGAGTCCCTTCTTATTCATCTTGTGCCTCTGTTCTTACCCTTGATGGTCTTAATCTAGAGTATCTACTCATTTTTTTTCTTCCTCATCTCTTTTACCTCAAGAAAGAATAGGTCACCAAAATATGTGTTTGAAGATGTTATACCTTTCTTGTTCTTTCTATAAATAGATGCTTTCTTTTCTCATTAGTGTCCTACATACTATTTTCTAGTAATCTGCAAATATATTCTTAGTCTTTTAGAGGGGCAGGACATTCAGATATAGAATATAATAATGATCTTTGATTTCTAATATCTGAGCTCTTAGTTGTTTTCTTCCTAGATAACTGAAAATCTGTAGTTAATGTTTTCTTCTGATAGAAGCTCTTGGAATTGTCATTTTCCTTTCCCTTTGGATCCACCTGTTTATTTTTAGACAATGTATTTAAAATTATAGATCTATTATAAAGTTTTTTTTTTTGTTTGTTTTTTGTTTTTGGTATCAGGATTGAACTAAGGGGCACTCAACCACTGAGCCATGTTCGAGCCCTATTTTGTAGTTTATTTAGAGGCAGGGTCTCACTGAGTTGCTCAGTGCCTTGCTCTTGCTGAGGCTGGCTTTAAACTCGCAGTCCTTCTGCCTCAGCCACTCCAGCCGCTGGGATTATAGGTGTGTGCCACTGCCCCCAGCGAGATCTATTATAAAGTTTTAAATTATTTACTCTTTATAGGATCTAAAGGAACCAAACTTAAATAAAATTCTGTAGGTGACTGCAGCTAAGGTGATCTGCCACATATATATATATATATATAATCACGCCCCCCCCCACACACACACAAACGAAGCTTCTTTCCTTTATTATATTTTCTGCAGTAAAGCCCAGGTATAAATTAGGTGCTGTAAGGGAGACCCCAGATGATCCTGTAGGACAGGTAGATGGACTTGCCTCAGCTCTAGGTTCCAAGCTAGGAACCTAGGAAGTCTTTTCCTTCTAGAGAAAAGACATTGCTTTTTAGCACATCCCTAGTAATGAGTGGAGAACTTTGTCTCCTTTAAAGGGCAGGGGGAAAGGACAATCTTCTCTGGAAGGTTGTGATGATCAGAAATCTTCCTGGAATTGATTTCTCACCCTTCTCACTATATTTTGATATCCAAATTATTTGGAACTTCTCTGATACTGTAGTGGGAGGTAGTGATAGTTGTAACACAAAGCTAACCAAAGGGTAAATTCTCTGAAACCTCATCTATAGTTTCTTGTTTGTTTGTTCTTTCCTTTTTTGTCTGCATCTTTTCCTTAGGTTTTCATGTGAGAGGAGGAAATAAACCACCAAAAAGACATTGTTCTTTCTGTACCTGCAGCTTGTTTTGATCGGATTTGATTGATGCTGTGTTTCCATAAGCATTCTTTAGACAATACTCTTTAGAACTTTCATTTGCCTCTTCTTTAAGTCAGCCTCTCTGTTGTCCCAGGAATATTTTCCATGTTGATGAAGTGCCAGGTGGGGTCTGAGTTAGGGATAGGTAGATTATCATTCTGTAGATTATTGTGTGTCAGGTTGTAGGTGGACTTTGCTGTTTAAGACTTGCCTATTTTAAACCTTTTCCCTCTATGTACAAATTTGTTTTATTCCAGTTTCCATATATTACACTCATAGAGGCATGAAAGAATAATGACTGAGATTTAAGGGGATATAAGTTTGGATACAAGTAAGAGGCTGAGTCTCTGTGATCCTTTTAGAATCTGCTTATCAAGGTTCTGTCTTCACTGAATCTTGGAACTATCCTTAAACTATTATTGGATTCAGTCTGGTTTAGTCCTTTTTCCTATCAAAACTGACTAGATTGTAACTGGTTCCAGAGAGATTCGTGTTGCAGGACGTGGTAGTGCAGTATGAAGAAGCCCTCTGGGCTCTGAATTTTACTACAGATGGAAAGTTTTCTTGACTAGCAACAGTAGTCTCCACCTTGTAATTTTTCCGGGTGTAACATACACTGAGTATTTTCCCTTTGATGTGTGTGTACCTGGAGGCTAATGTGTGAAGGATGCTTTCAACAAATGGACCCCAAATAAATATGTCTTTGTGCTAATTACATAGTATGTGAAGTAATTGACTTCAGGTTAATTTTCTTAAGGTTAAAGTAATTCCAAGGGCTTTTGATTTCTTGAGGAATGCCTTTATGAAGCTTTTAGTGTGCTATGAATTTGGATTTGGGATTGTCTAGATTTTTGAGGGATTAGGTTTGTCTCTTGGCTGTTTCTTTTGTCTCTTTGGTATTTGGTTAGTGTGATCTTTAATCATGGACCCCTATGGTTGGTTTGCTAGCATTCAAAATCACATGATATACTTACACTAATCAGAGAATAAATGTTTTCCTACTCCATAGCTTTCAGATAATACACCCATCAGATTTCCCTTGTTAAAATTAAACCATAAGCTAAATTAGGGTACCTATATAAATTTTCTTATTGAGAGTCAACTTTTTTGCTTTGTTTTGTGTGAAAATTTGAACATCATTGAATAAAAAGATACAACATTGGTGCCACAAGAAGTATTTTTACAAGTTGTGTGATTCATGTAATATTGACTGCTAAGTAACTTCTCAAGAGCTGCTTTCTTAATTGTAACTGAATTCTATTTGGCTCACATTTTCCAGGTAGATTTTGGTAATAGTGTTTGAAATGCTTTATTAATCAGAGGAAAATTTTATGGCAGTAGTTCTTGTTTTTGTGCATGTAGGAATCACTTGGGTGTTCTTGTCGAAAGCATAGATTCTCAGGCTTTACCTTTTAAGAATTGTGATTAAATAGGTCTTGCATGAGACCTAGAAATCTGTATTTTTTACTCCTTTGCCAGATTAGGGAATGCAATCCACATACAGAGCCACATGCCCAGAGCAACACTAGATGTACCTTCATTCTCAGTTCATTTTATCACTATGGTTATGTTGAGAGTCATGAGGGAAGAATATGCTAATAAATAGTGATTTTTTTTTTTTTAGGCTTTTGAATTCCAGCCTAAGTAGAAAATCAGAAAAGTACTAACTATTCTACCTGATTATGTATACTTTACTTATTGGATCTTGCTAAGCTCTTGCAATAAAGGTGGGTTGTTAAGAGGTAGAACAAACAATCATAATCATTATTCTGCTTTGCAATGTGTACAGTGTGTTAACTGTTTGCATTGTTTTTGCATTTGAACTTCACAACAGCCTTGGGAGGGAAATTATAAACTCCTTTGAGGGCAGGTATTATATCAAACATTCTGTATTTGTTGACCCTCTAGCCAAATGTCTGGTGACATATAGAAGGTATTTCCCAATAAATACTTGCTGACTGAATATGAGTAAAATTACCCCACTTTGTAAGAGGAAAACTGAGTTTTGCACTAATGAGTAGCAATCAGAATTAAAGGCAGGTCTTTGCATTCAAAATATTTTCCATTTCTTTGATTTTTCAGCTATT